CTACAAGTTGGCAAGAACGTGCTTCTAATCTTAGATAGCTGTTGAAAGGGATTATACAGAACCATGAAGGGTAGGCCTGCCCTACAGCTTTTGGGCGTGATAGCTCAATGGAACCTCTGTGTTCAGCATTCCATGCAAATGAGAGAAAGTTTAATCCTTTTTTCCTCACTAACTCCTTCTCACAAGAAAGTTTTCCTGTTGCCACAGCTAAAGAGGGAAAGAGTCCATTGTGGCCAATTGGCGCTTTTGTCTTATGAATACTGCTGTGTGTATTTGGGGGGATTTGGGAGAGAAGCACTGGAGGAGGAGGGATCAGGACCTCACTACTATAGGGTGGACAAACAAGAAGGACAGCTGCATGCAACACAATTAGCATGACCTCTAGTTTGACAAGGAATACCAGACCCAAAGCTTTCCTTGCAAGCTTTGTGCAGGTGTGTGTTTGGTCACTGAAGGCAAAAAAAAGTTCTCTACATTAACCTTTGACTAAAAAAGTTGCTCTAAGTTGAAACACACATGTTTGCCACTGTGAAACTTTAACTGAAGAAGAAATTCAAAACTGAATTCTGAGTAAACATTTCATTTTCTCCTCTTTCCCCAGCTGGTATTAGTGTGGAATAAAGAAAGAAGATAAACAAGTTTGTGGGCTTTCTATAGCTTTATTAAATACTGAAGACTATAATATATATCTGATCGGCCTTCATTTTATTACATGGAATTTTACTCCTACAGTTTGAGGGGGAGGGGTTTTCCTCCACTAAACAGTTATTAACAAAGAGATTCAGATTCTAGCTCATTCCAGCAGCTGCATCATAAAGAATAGATTTTTTTGCTAGCTGTGATTGTCCTCCATTTTTATGCTCATATAATGGGCAGTTTAAGACCTGTTCTAAGAAAATACAATTCTACTGGACATCCAAATTCAATTTACATGTTCCCGCATTAAAATGTGAGATCACTGTGTAGTGAAAGTTTATCAAATCAGTTTTGCACAGGAATTTCCTTATTTGAATGTTCCCCCCAAACATGGTGTGTCGAATTTCACATTCTTGCCGCTCAAATATGTTTCCAATCAAATATTCACCAAAATAACAATATGATCAGATTATAAAATGCAAGAGGGGTGAAATTGACATACAGCACAATGAATTTTTAAAATGCTCTTGCTAGTATGGTTCAAACAGTGTGGATACTTGAGTGTGTCCCTTGCTCCTCCTTGCAGAAGCTTATTCTTCCTTAGACAGACAGGGAGGGTCTCCTTGACTGTTTGGGGATAATCAGCCACATTACAGGAAAGGATGCTTGTATTCTTCACTCAAAAGAGCAATTCTGCACTCAGACAAAAGCCTATGATATTGGATCCTCCACTACCTCCTATGCTCTGACAGCTCTTGCTGGCAGGACAGGAGTCAGAAGAGAGAAAATGCTTACTATATTCTATTTCTATTTGTTGAGGGAAATAAAAAAGGCATTTCCCTTTGCCAGAAATTGAGCAGAGCTGAAAGGGCTCGGGGTCCCTTTATCCTAAGGTAAAGCTTCAGTGCCTAGAAAAGCATGGCATTTCACCGTAAGACACTAGATGGTTTTGCAACTGGAAGCATCGCTACCTGGGCAAATTTAAATATTTTCATAGTTGTGTAAGAAACCTTTTTGTTTTTGTTTTCCATTGTATATTCTCAGAAGTTTAGAAACAATCCTGGTCAGCCGGAAAAGTAGCCCAAACAATGCTTTTATGGCACTGTGTTGCCTCTCTAGTCAACCATGTACACAGTCCTGTATCAGTTGTGAATTCTCTGATTAAGAGTACAACAAAGAGAGTCCTACTGCAGTAAGTCTGATGTCTTTCCAGTCCAGCACAGAGGCCAACTAGATACATCCAGAAATCCTCAGAAGCAGGGCTTGGAGTAAACTACCTTTTGCTACCAGTGGTGGATCCTTCTCCAAAACAAATGCTAGATTAAGAAGAGGGATTTCCTCAGGACCTCAACAGAAAAAGGCTAAATTCTTTTTCCATGCTTTGCCCTGATCCTGTTAATTATCACACCCTCTCCAGCCGATTTAATTCACATAAAACAAAAACCAAAAACCTCCTGCTCCATCGCTACAAAGATACATTTAGTATCACATCTAGTTTGGTCCTGAGCTAATTTCTACCACCACTTGTTGCAGTTAATTCCATACATTAATTAAGTGTTGCATAAAGTACTCTTTTGTCTTTGTCCTGAATCTCTTGTCAATCATGTTCTAGTGTTATGAAAAAGAAACTTCCCCTCCTGCCCCTCCAGTCCATTTTCTCCACACCATGCAAATTTATATTACGTTTTCTTTTTAGCTCTTAAACTAAAAAGGATCTGAGCACTTTAGCATTTTGGTTCCAGTTCTCTATACTCTACGATATCCTTTTCCATATAAGTTAGTAGAATTATACTCAGTGTTCCAAATGTGGCCACACCAAGATTTATATAAGGACATCATATACCAGCAGCTGTAGTCTTACTTGCCTTCCTAATAAAACTCTTAAGCACCAACTGCAACAGCTGGAGCCAAGTTGCAAGCGTGAAACCACCCAAGCCTATGATTAAACTGTAGTCCAGAAAGGCCTTTCCCCCACAACCGATTATTTCCAGCAATGCATTTAGGCCAAGTGTAGACAGGTGATTTGCAGTCCCTGGTTTAACATTAGCAAAAACAAGAAGTTACTTCCTTCCCAAATTATACAGTTAAAATCAAGAAAACTTGGGCAATGCAGGCATAGATTTTTACGAGAGACAATTTGTATGTCAGCTCCAATTCTGGTACTGAAAACAAAACATCCTAGGCTGGACATAATATCAGAGGCATGTTCTCCCTTGATACTTGGTCTACTTGCTGAGTTACTATTCTGTACATGGCTCCATTTGGTGGACCTCAGGGTTCTAGCGAAAAACTAAGTTCGTCCTGCAAGCCAGATGTCTGCCTAACTCTGATCAAGAAGGCTTCTGTCACCTGCATGTATTTTGCTAATGTGTCCTACAGGCCCATTTTATATGGTGGGTACCTCTTGGTTCTACTTTCTGCTTGTGGCAAGCTATAGCAGCAGCTGTGTGTATCCAGTGCCAAGAAAACCCAAATTCTGTGAACAGGACTATGAAAAATCAAGCCAACTTGCATGAATCTACTTTTCTGCGTAATTTACCCTTGCTTCCAAGATTTGGGGATTTCATAGCATTTGGATTTGGGGAAAGAAGACGAGATGTGTGGCCCTGGGAAATCAGGTAAGGAGAAGGGTACAGAATCTTAGTTAACTTTCCAACAAGTCCAGAGAGATGAGCAACAAAAGCTCAGGAGAGCTATCCAGAATGCTTAATGTCCTCTCTGAGTGCTGGACATTCTTGCCTAGCCCTCATCTGGCCACAAGGCTTTTTAGATGACCAATTGATAGTGCAAAAAGGAAAAGAAAAGAAAAAGAAAAAGAAGAAAAATCAGTACTTGTACCTCATCTGATAGACAAGGTCCTCAGAGAAGTACAGATGTTAAACAAGTATCTTTTCCCCCCCAGTATTCAAACAGCAATTAACTTGCTGATAGGGAAATACGATGTTCCCAATGCTCAAGTTAGGGAGGATAGGTTTACTACAAGCAATTTTTTGGTCACTTTATGGCTGGAATGCTGGTCCAGGGGGACTCGGGATGATCCAGCCTGTCCCTTCTTATGTTCTTATAGCAACAGAAGAATTTTCTACTTGGAGCTGCATGCAGCAAATGCTATATAACTTTAAATGGAAGGAGACACGCAGTATTATCATTGCGGGTCTTTATTAGAAGTTGCCACTTCTATTAGAAACACAAGTTAAGCATGACTCTTGGTAAGTGCTAAAAAAAGAATTCAGATTCGAAGGAAATACCTAGCCAGCTTAAGCTTCCTGATAGACAGACGTGCTATTTAAGAATTAAGGAAATTGATGCTTTCAGGACAGAATATACTTGTGATTTAGCACACTCTATATAATTTGCTTTTTAAAAATTCTGAACAGTTTTTAAGATATATTGAATAATGTTGCTATGAATTGTTTTTTTAATCCCACTTTATAACATTCTACCCTGATGTCATATACATTCTGTGCTTTTTATCTTTTTATTTTTTTAACTGAAGAACATGTTTGGAATTTGTATGAACAGAGTTTGATATTAACATGCTCACTAACTGTGATTTGTAGTAACAGTTGAAATTATAGGATGAACCAGTTCCAAATCCACTACAAAAAATATACAAAAAGGTTCATGTATTTAAAAAAAGTTTCAAAACTGCCTGCTGTTTCCTTTTATGAAATTAGTTGCATTAGCAGGCAGACATAAAACCTACACTTGCAAGCAGATGGCCTTTTAGAAGCAGGCAAGGAAGCAAAATAGTGAACATTTATACTCAAATCACATCATGTCCTATGCACATGTCAGCCCCTTTGTCATAAAATTGACAGACCCTAATCTAATGTAAACCCCAGTTCCTCTAAGCAGACTTTGCCACATTTTGCAACAGAGAGCCATTCACTGTAACATTTACTGATAAAATTCAAAATGGTATGATACACGAGAGTGCCAAATCAATATCTCTCCTACCCTGCCCAGCCAGCATGATTAACAATCAGAAGTTCACTTGGGTGTTAAGAAACTATTCCAACTTGCTTCTAATGAAGGCTTTTGCCGAAAAAAATGGTTTAACCACTTAGTGAAGTCATTCATGTCACAGACAGACTTGCAGCTAGTCAGTGAGGTATGGTCAATTTGGGTCATGTACATTAAAATGTAGAAAAGGAAAAAAGGAACTGGGGCTAAGATCCACAGCCGGTATAACAACCACCAATCATAAGAACATTCATTTGAGGAGAAAGCACTTGTAAAAATGTGTGCTATAAATTGATGATTTGTTCAAGAGTTCAACATGACTTACAGAATCATATTTTATTGTATGTTTTTCTTTTCTTTTATTAATTTAGCAGAAAGGCTTTTAGAAATATTCTTACCATGCTTCAGATGTAGGCAGCTGTCATTCGTGGGGCTGCACCTGTAGGAGATTGTTGTTCTTTAACAAATTTCCATTGAATATTTTTTTTGCATACCCCAAATAAAAGGTCTTATGCTGGAATATGAATTGCTGATTGATTTCCTCTGTCTTTCATGGTTCTTATACCAGCCATTTTGATTTTGGTTTGTTTTATTAAGAAAGAAAGGAAAGGACCTCACTGATGCTTTGAGACAACATACCGGGCAGCTATTAAGACCATTTTTAAAAAAGTACACCCAAGGGACAAAAAAGTACATATGAAATGTCTCGATATCCCCATACAGAATCAAATTATTAGATATCTTCGCAATGAGGAAACATGCAGATCCAAGATCTCTGCTGCTGCAATTTTCTGCAGTGGCAAGAACAAAACATCCTCCGTACATCTTAAAGTCAGTAGGGTAGAGGGGGCTGAGATCCAATATATGGCATGTGGGAAGAGAGTTTTTTGGCTGCTGACAAGTTTTTGGCCTGGCCAAGATGCAGAGAGAGAAGTAAAGTAGTCAGCATCTAGCTGCTGTTTTTCGGTTTTTACATCGGTGCTGCGTGTACGTGTAAGCAAAGCTGTAGCAATTCTGCAGGTGCTGCAAAAAATCTCCACTTAGGACAACCGTTAGAGGCCATACCTGAGAAGGTTGCAGAGACTGGCTGTCCTGCAGGATGTGCTCTTTTTTTGCTTTGTCTGCAGTAGCTCTGACAAATAGCAGTGGAGGATTATTATAACCTACAATTACAGGTGCCCTTGGTGGTCTCCATTGCAGTGCCTGCTCTTCCAGATGCAGAAACAAGCAGCACAGAACTCAGTTCCTTGTGCTCCCATTTAAAGAAGGTCACACTCTGAGACGGCTTTTGGTATAGGAGGCCAAAGCAATGAAAACAGTAGTAAAAATAATGTTTTGAGGCTATGTGCTACCCATTATAGAAGCGATTCTGCAAATAATAATAAATATAAGATAAAAAGCACACTATGAAGCTTTCTTTCCTTCTTTTTTAAAGCACAGCAAGTATTTAACACGAGCATCTACCCATGAAACATACCTGATGTTGACTCTTGTAACTTCTCTCTCTTCCTCTTCTTTTTCTTTCCCTATAAAAGGCAAAAAAATTGGAAAAAGTCTGTTTCCCATACCATGTAATCACTGTTCTTCCAAAAAATGTAATAAAGAACAATAACACATTAGTAGTCATTTCCAGTCATTTCCACATTTTAAATCCCTTTTAAACATTTTTCAAGCTATTGAAAATGCACTATTTTCATAATTATATGATACTGCAAGGATTTTTGAAACAGTTTGCCTATATTAAGTGTCAATAGCTTGCAAAACACTCTCCGCTAAATGGGCTCTACATCATGGATTAACTTTACCTAACACTCAGAACAAAGAGCAGAATAAAAAGTTTAAAAGCTCCTTCTAGTAAAAGTTACAGTAAGACATTTAAAGAAGAAAGTATCCTAGGTAACTGTGCTCACAAGCAGGAGATACTATGCAGAAGATTGAATTATAGTGATTAACCATAAAGTAAGGCATTATTTTAAGCTGTGATTCAATTCCTGGTGTATTTATGTGTCAAAAGCTCTATTCAGTGGCAATAAAGAGAATAGTAATTTGACATGCTTCTGAATTAGTGCAATTTAAATTGAGTAGTTTCCACAATGAAAAGTAACATTAAAATGGCAATACCCATTCATGCAGTAGGGTGGACCTGAATGGATACAAAATCTGTTAACTCTGTTTAAAAGATGCTGGCTTCAGAACCAGTATAATGTAGTAGTGCAAGTTTCTAATCAGGAAGAGGTGGGTTAAATATTCATTCAACAATGAATGCTCATTGGGTGACCTTAGCTAGTCAGTCGAGCCCACCTTATAGGGCTGTTCCAGCTCACAGAAGGAAATGGAATGGGAAGAACTTTGTGTGCTGCTCTGATCTTCTTGGATGTAGAGATGTAGCAATAAGTTACTGCCTTTTGAAAACTCACAAGTTCACTGATACTCCATATACACTGGCATGTAAGTATAGTACATGACATGCACCAGCATGTTATTTGCCTTTTAACATCTCTCTTTCTGCAAATATTAAGGCTGCCAAAAGCATTTTGATCTGGGTGTTGGCTAGAAGGTGAAACAATGCATTTTCAATTTGGGAAGAAACTGCAGCCTTTAAAAGGTGGACTACCTATCACAAAAGATCAGCACATGTGCTAGGCTTCCAGTAGTAGGATGAGCTTTTTTTCCTTCCTCTCTTCCATTTTAATATAATTCATTAAGCTGAAGCGGGATTTTCAAAAGGGACTGAAGTTATGGATACAAAAAGGATTTTGTTGACTGTGGTTCTAGGAATATGAAAGCCTCTTAACCCTGAGCCTCATTTTATGGAGTTTGACTTGGGGCAAGTCTATTTACATGGCATTAACTAGGCATACTGGATTATGAATATAGCCAGCTACTGATTGAAATCTCCATAAAGGTGCTTTTTCAAAGTCAGGACTAGATCTAGGATTAGGCTCTTCTTTGAATTCTTTATTTAGGAGTAATCAAGGCCAAATCTTAGCTAACTCCCAGACAAATCACTCTTCGGATGTCATTACTACGGGATTTTTACAGAAAAAGGAGCATTTTAAAGAGTAAAGGACAAATATGTTAACTATAATGGAATAATTATTTGATTTTACAATGAGCAACTAAAAGCCTTCATAATTAAAAACAAACAACATAAATGAAGTTTTGACTTTAAAAAAAAAAAACCCACAATGACTCCAAAGCCAAAGATGACTGCTGTATTCAAGTCAAAAGTTGAGATTCAGTCCATCTCCCATTCTACCTGCTTAGAAAAATGCACCACACAAGCAAAGCCAAGATGAACACATAGCTCAAATTAGGTCCAGAACAATCCACCATAGCCTATCTTTAGAGGAGATTCTTTGCCATGTGTATTTAGTAGCCATGTGATAAACGTATGTCGAAAGGGCTATAAGATGAAGGACATATGTAGGTTACCACTCCAAGTCCTTACAGAATAATTATCTACCACCTAACAACCATTCTGACATGGCTGTTACATGGCAGGAAGCTGGGCCACAAATACACCATGGGCCCAATTCAGAATCACTTTGAGATATATAAAAGCTATCTTAAACAAAACAAAACAGAAGAGTAAAAGGACAGAACTCAAAAGAAAAGTCTAACAGGGTCTAATGGTCCAGCTGCTCCAGCAAGCCACTTGTAATTCAAATGCAGCAAATGCTAGCTGAGGACAATGTAAATGAAGGGCTTACGTAGTTGTCCCTCGCAGACCAGCCTGGATAGAGCTGCATGTGAAGCTGCCTTTCTTTCCGAGCTAGTTCATAATATTTCGCCTGTTCTTCACGAGACAGTGCATGCCACTACAAAGAAAGTGAGAAAGAATGGATGTTGCCTTAAGGTACAAGAACATGCTGTCCACAGGAAACCTTTTGTTCCAATTATTCTAGTGCATGGGGAAAGGATACAATCACTCAGTATGATGCGAGGGTAAGGACCACATATATAGAACATTATGATCACTTAAGAATTTATTTTTCACCTCAGTTGTTGTTGTTACATTGCACGTATGCCCTATTTTTTTCTTCTTGGGAAGAACTCAAGGTGGCTTACACAGTTCCATTTTATCCTCACAACAACTGCGTGAGCTGAGAATCACCCAGTGAGCTTCATGGCTGAACAGGGACAAGAACCCGTATCTTGCAGGTCTCCAGTCCGACATTCAAACCACCACGCTATGCAGGCTCTCAAATATTCAGAAACTGAAACTCTTCCGTGAAAGATCTGGATTTTAAATCTGCTCCCACTTAACATTTACTCTTAGCGGGATGGCAGAAGTCTGGAACAACGCAGGGGTGGGCAATGTGTGGTCCTCAACTGAATTTCAAAATTATGCTCTGCAAGCAAGTCATTCAGGCCTCTGGCCAAGGTGGATGGAATCTCACTGAGAAGGGAGAAAGATGGAGAAATAGTGAGTCACTTTTGGTCTGAGCATGCCCACTGACGGCATTGACGCCACTCACTACCAGCATGCTGCCCTAGATCAATTATTTCCAAGGGAATGCAGTTTCTAACAGGAAAGAGTTGCCACAGACCTCGAATAAGATGTCATTCCCCATATGGCATGAACAAAAATCATTTGCATTTGTTCAGAATGATAAAACATTAAATTCATTCCGTTTTGTTTGGGTTCTCTTACAGCTATGACTCTGGGCTACCAAAAGAATCTTATTCATAGAACTGTGAGAAGAATGCAAAGAAAAATACTCTTCATGTCTCTATCGTTAACTTAGTCAAGGGCTAGTTATACAAAGTGCTATTTTGTGTTGATTTTATTGGAATTCTTCTCTGTTGTTATGAAACATTAAAATGGAATTCATAAGTAACAAGAACATATTAATAGTTTCCCTTGATGTATTCAAATTTCTTTATGTGGACACTGCAACATCCTTATATCCCCTAACTACGCAAAGTCACTAGATAATATAGACAGCATATTTCTTAATTTGAAGGACTGAGCTCCTAACACCTGATGCTAAAGAGACCACTTTGTTGCTGTTCTGGAGAGTTTACATTCTAGAATGGTATGCGTGGAGTTAATCATTCCTTTCATATTTAATGAAAGCTTTGTTAAGATTTGCGGGGGGTTGTTTTGCTTTGGGTTTTTTTTTGTGCGGGGTGTAACAGAGAAGGCCTCTATCTCTTTATCACTTCCTCTCCAATCCAGCTCCCAAAGGGTTTTCTTTTTTACATTCAAATAAACACTTTTGCTGCAAATTCACTCCTCAATCCTTAAATATACCGTCTTTCTCCCCATTGCAGAAAGCAAATGGAGTAATGGGCACAGCATTTACCAACAGGAACAAAGTAAGGGATGATTTGTGTGTTGCTTAGGATGCTGTGGGTAGTAGCCATTCTTTCCACAGAACCCTATGGTGCTTTTTCACCACTATGGGAAAATGGTACTCCTTGGTTGGCACACCACAACAGTCAGTCATGGTAAGCAGAAACTGTACAACAGACTATTGTTTCTTGTCATGGTTTCTAACTCCCAGACAAGTCTTGGTGGTATGCCACAACTGGGACTGGACAACATGATAACTCCACAATGGTAGAAAACCATGATTGCTGGTCATGATGTACGGGCCATTCAGTGACTCTGAGGTTGCTGGCATGCTAGGGAATGAAAAGCCATGGTCCTGGTATTATATGAAGAGGTAAGGACGGTATCTTGCCCACTGCTATTTGCAAGTGAGATTGATGGTAGTAGTTGACAGAAGAGGTACCAAAAACAGGAGATACAGACTCAGGGTAAGAGGTGATACAAGTCATGAAAAAAGACTCTTTTTTAAAAAATCACTTGGTGTGCATTTATGTCCTTGCAGGGTCAGAATCATTAGCAGCTCCTTTTATGACCTTTGAATTACTGTATATGCAATAGATGTTCCATTTTCCTTCTCTCAAAAGGGATATAAGAATATGAAATTTTAGGTTTTTTGCCCCTTTTTCAGTCCTTCTTCCCCCTGGGAGTGTTTATATGGAAGTATATGTTCCCTCCTAAACACCAAGCAGAACACACACTCTGAAATCAGAGGTCACCCATGATTTCGCTATTGCATTTACTACTGTGCAGTTCAAGAAAACTGTTGGCATCCCAAGGCATCATTCTGTGCTCGAGGTGTTCCAACATAATGCAATTTTTGGAGCAAGCAAATCTCTCTCCACTGCACATGCACACCCACCCACCCCCTTCGCTAAGCCTGCTGCTTGAGAGCATAGGCAACTTTCGTCTTCACTGTCAAGCAGCAGCAGCTCCAAGCCCCACAGCTGTTTCACAGCAGGAAATGAGGGCGGAAGCTTGCTGCTTCCAAGAGCCAAATGGCAGGGAAGAGGCGTGAGAGCCAAGAAGTGACACAGATGAAGCACAGAAGGTGCACTATTTCTCCAAAGGATTCCTGGGTTTGTAATAAAATTAGAGATGGAGGTTTGGGACTTCTGGAGGAATCACTGCATAGGTTAGGTGATCTTCTGTGTATCGGAGTATTTTCACCAGAACAGAATATTCTATATAATTTACTGTGACTATTCAACATAGGGATCTTGAATTACATTTTAATACCACCTAGATTTTGTTGTTATTTGTTCACTGTTAACTGATGAGCAATTATGAATGTGCAGATTTAATTCACAATGTAACTGTCTAAGCATTTGTTTGTTTTTAAACCTTCAGAAGTGATAGTAGTTCTGGCCCAAGCACTTTGAACACATATAGTATATCTAACACGGGCTCCTGTACTATTATACAGTAGGTGAACATTCAATCAACATCTTTGAAAGCTCAGGGTTGAAGAAGGCCTGGGTGAAACAGAATTTCTACTCTTTAAAACAAAACAGTTCACCTTTTTAGTAAGTATACCAAAGTTACTTTGAAGAGAGGTCTTGCCAAATGCCTAATGCCTCCTGCACCATTTCCCCCTTGTTTCAAGGTAATTTCACTTGTGCACCATCTGCCATTGTGTTCGAACTCTGGCTTTCAGTAGACCATTTAAAAGTGATATTTGATGGAGTGTTCCAACAACCAAATCCTCTGTGTGTTGGCAGCTGCACACAGCCAAGTGACCGTAGGCTTAAGTGATTGTGTACAAACATAGAAAAGATTTTTCCTGCAATTACCTTGTATTCAGAGGGCAGTGTGGGTAAACAGACCATTCATCACCCCATAATTTGATCTATATACAACTGGCCTGAGTGAGAAATCCAATGTTCTTCCCACTTCCGAAATTGTACATTTAAGTGAATTTGATTTCTGATGCTAGTTAACTTTTCTTGGTTGGAAAAACTGTAACAGAATACTCGTAAGGTGGGGCAAACCAAACAAAGGTACTCTATAACACCAGTTATACCATGTCGGGATAATCATTCTTTATTTGCTTTTCTGAAACATGGAAAAATGTACAGAATGTTAGCTCACAACTCTTAAACAACTCTGAACAACAACTTACAACTTAACAACTCTGAAAAAGGGCAAGCACCTTATACGCAAAACTGTACAGAAGTGTTATCTTAAGGTAAGTGGGTGTGAAAGGGTGAGAGAGAACCGACATGATCTAAAATGACCTTGCTACAGAGGGACTCCTCTTGACTTAGCAACCGAAATGACAAACCCTTTGGCAAATGGAATTCATGCTCACTATCAGTCATGCCATAGGGTGAAGGCCATAGTTCTGCAGCAGAGTATATGCTTTTTAGGCAGAACATTTCAGGGTCAGTCCCTGGCATCTCCAGGAAGAGCTGGAAATCTCCTCCCTGAATTCCAGACAGCTGCTGCCAGCCAGTGTTGACAATGCTGGGCTAAGAGGGACCAGTAGTCTGATGCAGTATGAGAAAGTTTCCTATGTGCTAGTGTGCTTCGTTCCTTCTTTCAATTTAGTAAGTTAAGGCTGTAAATGGAAATACTTTTTTTACTGCTGTTTGCTGTTGACTGCAACAATGTTCTGGGATGGAAAAAAGTGTGGTAACACACCAACCATGAGTCTTTCAGAACTGTGAACAGCCAGCTTGTGCACCCAAGTTTCAGAAGTTTTCACCTTGAAAACTCTGAAGAACAATGGCATAACTGAACTGGATGGTGTTTCCAGAGGACACAACCCTAAAAAAACAACTCTGACATCATGCAAGGGGATTACTGAGTGTCAGGCAATGTGCCAGAAAGGTAAGTATATACCTGAATGTTGTGTGGAAGTTTTGTCATATTCACCTCCTTTAAAAACCTCTCATACCACAGACATTTGAAAAACTCAACAAGTAAGGAGAGAATTAATAGTTCTTCTGGGGAAGCTTCCAAAGGGGAAAAATGGGATATATGCAGACTATTCCTTTCTGAATCATGGCCAAAGTGCCTACCCTGGGTTCCTCCCTAGATGCTGCCTTTTTCCAATATGGTATTCCATGATGGGTACATGGGTTACCTTGTGAGACTAGAGGTAAGTTAAGCAATGGAGAAAGGTATCAAAATATAGACAGGGGCTTAAGCTAATTCAATGTTTGTGAAAATCAGAGAAGGAATTTCCAGTCCCATGGCACATTTAGACAGCATAATAATCAAACACGTAGAGCCTGCTTTGAAGGAACCAAGCAATAAACTTTATAGTATTCTTTGCAAATAGATCCCTAATCACTCTGACGCCAAGACCCATTTTAAAAGCCAAGGGTTTAGGTAGTTGGCAGGCACAGCTCATGTGAAAGAAATATCAGAAGAGATTGAAAACCCAGACTTAAATGAAGGTCTCAACTTGTAAATGCATGGAAGGATTAGTCGTATTGCTAATATTTTAAGGCAGATAGTCTGCTATGAAAATCTCAAGAAAAAAGAAAACATGTACTGTAATATGTACTTTTAACGTGAATTAGACAGTACTTAAACCTCTTTTCTCCTTTACAGAACAGAGTAGTAAGTATGAAAGCATGAGCTACAGAAACTGTCCTACTGTAACAAGGCACCATCAGAAAACCAAAACCAGAACAGGGACTTACAAGGCCCATCCTAGCCCTGCTAGGATAGCCTTGGATGGCAACAGTATGCTTGCACTTTCCCGGATCAAGGATAATTCCAGCTCAACCTACTTCCTTGAAACTAACTTCCCAGTTTGTGCTGGAGCCTCATATGTGGTTGTCTGCTCTGGTCCGACATTATACTACAGTCTGGATAAGCTTTACCAGGGATGCAGAACATGTGCAAGAACATCTTTTAGAGCCAGACTTAACCTTCTCCTGAACAGGCATTGGGAAGGTATGTGTGATTGTTTTCCCTACTGTCCTGCAAGTACATACAGCCCAAATATGTCACTATGGGAAAAGACGGTTTAAAGTCTTTTCTCAATTTTCATCTGAAATTCAACCCTCTCCACACCCACTGGGGTATGTGAAGAATTTCAGGATGAAAACAAGTGGGGTGGCTGGAGAAGCATAAAGCCTTCTCTCCTGAAGCGCCATGGCCCCAGTCTGAATCAGGGTCATGTGCATTTACAGGAGAGTAAGGAAAATAATCATGTTTAACTCCATTATATGTGATTAGAAGGTATCTTGGGGATGGAGGCTACATCAGACAATTTATGCATTCTATGTAAAGTTCATTTTGAGGTGACAGCATTATTGGTTCAATGAGTACATCTGGCAATTGTAGAAACTGTGCTGTGTAGTACCACAAAATGGCTTCTGTGGAACACAGGACTAGTCACAAAAGACAAATAACTTGCCCTGAACACTAGATAAAAAGCAGAGATATAGGGGTCTGAACCGCACCACACTAAACACCTCCCCTGAACCACAGTTTCCAGCACCAAGAGAAACAGAAGGCAACCTCTTCTTTTCCCTCTTCCCAGTGCCCAACTCTGGATCCCTACCTACGCCTCTGCTTCCCTCTTGTGTTTATTCTCTCTCACACACACAAGTACATTCAGCCAACCATCCTCCATACAGCTGCCCCTCAAGCCCTTCTCCATACTGCAAGCACACAAAAGACCACACTCACCGTTCTTCAGGATCTTTTCTAAACTCCTTTAAGCCCTTTCTATCCTCCTCTACCTTTCACACAAAGATACAGCCTCTCCATCTATTCAGACACAGGGGCACAAACCTTCTTCAGAACCTGCTGACCTCCCACTGTTCTGCATCCATCCTTCACTCTCATGGGCTTGCTGAGTGCTTCTCTGTTACCCAGCTAGCTTACCACAGCTCTCCTTACTCAGTCACCTCAGGCTTACCAGAGAGTGACAGGAGTCCCTCTCCTCTCCTCCCACCTCTTTTTCTTGGTGGCCAGTGCTACTACAGGAAAGCATTTGCCTTCAGGCACCTGTCATCTTTATTTCCAAAAATGTTCCCCAAGCCCAGCCATGGCTCAGAAGTATCCATGGGAAATGCAGATGGCAGTGGCAAGAGGTCTTCACTTTGCTTGGGAGCAATCTCTGCTGCCAGTAAAAAAAAATTGTTCCTTGTTAACATTTATGTGGGAGGAATAAGATCCTTTGGAGGGCATGCAGAAAGATATCTCAGAATACAAAGGTCCCTGTGAGCACCATGTTGCCTCCCCACATTGCATAGTTTCCTTCTTCTGTCATAATATTCCTGCGTGAATATTGTAAACTTTATAGCATGAACATTTGTAAACTTTATTCTGAAGCACGTACACAAGTGTGACTTAAGACATGACTAATGCATGTCATGCATGAACACAGAACATTGTCTTCTACGTAACCCAGATGGATCCATCTAAACCAGTGCTGGCTCCTTTTCTCTAAGGTATCTATCACTCATTACTCTCATAAGGATGCAAGAAGAGCCATGCTGGACCATCATAAGGGCCCATCTAGTCAAGTATGCTGTTCACACAGTGGCCAAACAGTCACACACAGATTCCCACAAGCAAGATAAGAGTCAAACATCATCCTGCCCTAGCAGGCAAGGAAATATGGTGAATTAAACCTGTGATTTTATGCAAGTAAATCTTAAGGCATTGTCACAGAGCTATGGGCCCATACTTTATGGCATGACAAGACTACTTGCTTTGGTGTTAAGTTGTATCATATCATCTCCACTAACTAATAGCAGCATAGTCAATGGGCGAGGTCAGCTTCACCCTGCAAACACCTCATGGGGAGTTGGTTGTTCAGGAAACATGGGCCGTTCTGCCCCTCAGTCCTTCAGCCAGTTCCACTACACAACCCAGTGTCATCTTGTGTTCCTCGCTTTGATAGCTACCTCTTTTCATTCACAGCCACTTTTTTCCCTGGAAATTCCCAAAAGCATTGGGAGGTGGATTAAAAAAATGAGCCTCTGAAAATTGTAGAATTGTGTTCTTAAGTTTTGTGGGGGTGTTGATAAAAATCCTATTAAGCTCTTACAGCTCTCCAGTAGGTGCAGTCTTGCCTAGTTTCCTGGTCTGGTTCAGCTGTCAAGGGAGGACAGCATCAGACTGAGCAGCAGACTCTGTGTATTCCCACAAATGCAATGGACCAGCTGCCAAATGATCAATTCAAAAACAAACGTAAATGGGGGGAAAGTAGCAAAAGAAGGTGCACCAAAAGGTGTGGGAAAACAGTATGTCTGTCTTAGCAATACAATCATATCTAAGTGTTGAACTGACCGTTTTTACTACATACCACCTTTCCAACAGTTCTCTGGATCTGCAGCTACCCTCAAAAGGAAAGATATTAAGTCTTCCCTACTTTCTGCAACTCCTTTTTGGAGTACTTCCTGCTGTGGTTACTGCAGTTTCCTGGCTGCTGAAAATAAACACATGGACAGGAAATACAGAGGAAATTTGCGTACCTGCATTAACAATGAAGTTAATGCAAGTATGCAAATCTGTCCTGCATTTACTTCCCAGCAATTATATTTGCATACATTTCACCTCCATTTCCTTCCCAGCCACTAAATTTACACACATTTCTTTTAAAAAAGCTCCCAGTGAGGCATTGCAGTCACGGCTTCTAAAAGTCGCAGTAAAGCAGGAAGGAATTAGGATCTCTCTCTTCTGACTGAGCTGAAAAGTTGGGAAAATGTGAAAAGGGTGGAGGACAATGAGAAGTGTCAGTGCAATACTTAAAACTAAGAGAATCACATTGCCAGGGGGGAGGTACCATGTCCCCACTTTTGGTGCATCTGCTTCTTGGCTTCCCCCATTATTTATTTGACTTGTGCCACCAGGCACCACCCTTATCTTACTCTTATTTCTTTCCTAGTCCTTTGCAACTGCACACAAGTTCACCAATAGGCAATTCTTTCTTGTCAATATTCACATCAGATAGTCATAAGTGCAAATTAGAGACAGACAAAGCCCAAACCACAATTAAAATTATTCTGCAATTATGCATTGTTGAGATACCAAAGATTAAATGTTAAAAATCCAAGGAACAAGTGACAATCTTTCCAAATTGCCTTTTTTCACAACTGCTGGAGAGATCACTAAAAGCAAGTAGCATAGACTTTTTTGCCACTCCTGCCAAGAAACTTGGCAGTCAATTACAGTAGCCCATAAAATTGATCTCCCAGGTTTGGATGGCATGGCAACCCACTGCAGAGCTGTTTTATCCCACAACAAGCCATGGATTGTCTGCATGACTGAAAGATAAGCCACCCCATGGAAAACACTCTGACTTTAGATGATGGCAACCTACAGGATTGGGTGCCCTTGGGAAGTTGTCAAGCTGGGTGAACCCAGTCATTGGGTGAACCAATACACTAAGGGGGTAGATGGGATGCCTAGCCTAACAAGTATACACACAGAAACACACTGTTTTGCCATACCCTTCTGCCAAGGATTTGGTTGATTGCTGCACTTTCTTTCAGAGTACACTCTGCTACAACGTTCGCTCTCATCTCTTTCATGTATAACATGAAAGCATTCAGAGGTTTCTTAATGTGAGGTCTTTTGGGCTCTTGTTCTTTCCTCTGTTCATGCTGAGGCTTCCTAAAGGTAACAGGCAGGAAGAAAACACAAAAAAGAGCAATTGTTATGTTCAGCTTTGGCTGTGAAAGGAGATACATAACACCTCCATTTCAGATGATCAACTAGCTATTTTTATCTTTTATGATTTTGTTTAACTAGTTAATACAGTTTCTGAGCATGAGAAAAAAAAAGTCATGCTTTCTTCCAGGACACAGATGAGCAACTAGCGGCTCTCCAGATGTCTGACTTACAACTTCCATCAGCCCTAGCCATAGGCAATGGTGAAGGGTAGAGGGAGCGGATGGCCAAAAGCTCTGGAGGGCTACAGGTTGTCCACCCACTCTAGGAGTTGTTAACTGGCATCCAGACTCTGCCAGTGAACCCAATGTCCACTTCCAATGTTACTACCTTCATTCAGAGTTTAAACTACACATCTTTGCAGGTAAGTGCCATTTGGGATTGTAGGGTAGGGAAATCCAAAGAGGCTCTACTAGTCTCATAGATACATATCAGTTTCTTTGCCTATTCTAAATTGCTGAGCCCAAGAGGATGGCAACTATACACTGCTTATTGGACAGATATACATGAATCCAGACTTCTAGCCTCACTTGTGCTAAGAGCAGAGCATTTCAAGTTCTCATGAACTAGTTAGCTTTGTCTCAGCTATTTCCCACTTCAGGTCTGTGACACTTCTAAAATACTTAAATACAATTTTCACATCTTCCCACAGGGATATGCAAAACACTGTTTCACAAAACCTTTTCCTTGCTTCAAATTCTCAGGCACTGCAAACTGAGGATTAATCAACAACCTGAAGGAAGACTTAACTCACACATGCATTAAGTCACTGTCTGTGTGCGGATGTTCTTGTTTGACTTGAGGTGTTACAATTGCTGGGTGAGGAATTCCAGTTGTGTGGGGTCCTGGGGGACCAGGAATCATATGATGCGAAAACCTAAAAAAAGGAAAGATACGCTATTCATAATAGCAATCTGAATACAATATAGGATGACCATATCAATCAAGATAAAGCCTAGGAAGTGATACACACTGCTTCACATGAGTATCACATCAAGCTTCCATCAAAGATGCCATGAAACAACTAATGCATGAAATAATTAATTGGTCAAGACCTAGGTATTATAAGCAGCATCCTTATTCTCCTGTAATTTGGGAAGAAACCTTAGTTTTCAGCATTAGACATAACAACATTTAATATGGCCAGTTATTTAGAAGCAGATAACACATAGTCAAAATAAAACTGTTTCTACGCAAGTATAAAACATATTATCCACCACCATTGAAAGTAGGAATTATCACATGCAGAAAATTAAAAGATTGAGGAGTAGTTTCCAGAGACTGATACCAACTTCAGAACCTGTTGCACAAGGATGGAAATCCTGGGGTTTCATTTCACTTTTCAGTAAGAAAGATTCTGCGTGATATTAAATACCTTTCTACAACACAAAGGACTCACCACCATCACAGCTAGGCAGCTAACATTCTTAACAAAAGGTAACTTTCTTTTCATTATATTTTAAAAACCCATAAAAACGATCTTCATAACTGCAAGAGGATTATCCCATTACCTATTCCAGCCTATGTTTCATCAATATTTCTTGATCATATGTTGAGCTCATACACAGCACTGGAGGGGTCAAGAGAAATTACCGTTTGTCTTAATTGATTTGCTGTAGGCATAAATCCAGTCAGCATACCTCTGTGGGAAGGCTCACACTACACATGCATTGCATAAAATATTTAAAATAGAAGGAAGCAATTTTGGAACTACCTTGCTTTTTCCTTGCTAAGGCATAAATTGAACATTACTGCACTGGGAGGACTCCTTTCTCTCTTCCACCCTGCAGTCCCCCCACCCCTGCCACTCCCAAACCCTTAACTCTGCTGTAGAAAACCCCTTAATCTCCTGGAGCAGAAATGTGAGGCTGCAATTAATAGGGAAAATTCAGTCCACTGGTAGTGTCCGCTTTCTTTAATTTTCTCACTTTGCCTACTTGTCTGAAAGGTCGATAACTGACTTTGTTGCAAAACAAATCAAAAATTCACACAGAAATGACTACTAGCTGCTAAAAAGCACAGTATTATACTTTTTGTAGTGATTGTACAAATGTGAATATTTGATGGGTTGTTGCAGGAACAGGGCAATAAAAACAGTAATTAAATAACAGAAGCACATGTAAAGAGACATGATGAAGCTCAACAGTGACAGCAAACTTATATTGCCTAGGCAAATTGCTTTTGGTTGTGTGTTTTTGTATTTTGAATGTCGGATCTCAAGTTCACTGCAACCTTTCGCTATTCCAAGCACAGCACACAGAGCCCATCTTTCCACAGAGCGGAGACATTGCACAGAATGATGCACAAGTACGCCATCGCCAAGCCCCAGTTAGTGCTGCTTGCTTGCACTAACAAGAGCATCCCATTTACACGCCACCGCTGCAGATATAACCATGTGTAGACAGCTTCTTTTGCCTTTATTTTAGAGCAGATTTGGGCTTGGAAAATTCCGTGCAGTGCTGCAGCTCACGCTTAAAGAGCAAAGTACTGGCTGTGTAGCAGGAGATAGTATGGGAGTGGGGAGAGAGAAGAAAATCACTCAAATGAATGGTGGCTATGTTATATTTAGGGGTTATATTCACATGATGCAAAATAGCAAAAATGCTGTTTATTTCTGTATTACATTTATATCTCCCTTTCTTAAATTAGAACTCAAAGCAGCACACAAATTCATTAAGAGATCTCCCATCCAGGCACTGAACAAACCCAAATCTACTTAGTTTCAGCAAGTTTACTTTATCACTTGTCTTTAGACCATAACAGTGGCTATAAATTGAAAGTATTTGGTGAAGGCAAGCTGTATATACACAGTAGTATTATCTGTTATATATATGCATTTTAGCTTGCTAGGGGCAGGCGGAAAGCAAGAAAAGGCATACACCAAGATGCAAGCAGAAAAGCAAACTACTTTCAGTGGTAATTCCTCAGCCAATCCATCATTCCGCACCTAAACCTACCTTGCCATGGAAGTGTCGACTGAAAGTGAGGATGGGTAGGGTTGCCTGAATCCACTTGAGATGGGATATACAGGCTGACCTTGCCTGAGGTCACAGAAGAAAGGAACCCATCAATAATACTGTAATAAAAGTGAACCTCCCTTTCATCAAACACCAATGAGGAAAGAAACTAGGTAGCAATGAAAGTAAATGGCATTCTAATTCAGGAGTTTAGATTTTGTTTCTTCACTGAAGGAAAAAAATAACTAGCAAGGATTTTAGAAAGATGTAATTGGACTGGATGATCTAATGTTTCTACAAAATGGATTACAATAAACTAGGGTGTACTTAAGTGTTTAACAGCCATTTGTTCACCCAACAACTTCATTTTCCCAGAGGGAAGTCAGGACAGTCAGTGGTACAAAGCTGTCAGGGTACAGATTTTTATTTCCCCTGAAAATGATTGATATCCTAACATCTCCTGGAGGAGATGAACTTGACAATTTGGCTCCTTCAGGGGGCACACTTTGTTGTTTCCTCAAACCACTAGCTGGAAGGAATGTTCTCTTGCCTCACCCTCTAAACTGGCAGATCAACTACTAAAACATCAACCCTACACACACTTTACCAGGAGCCTCTTCTACACATCCTGCACCAACTTTGCGTGCAGTGAACAAGTCAAGTCTACTATGAACATTACTTTCTCGAGGATTTTGGCAGCCCTCCAGCATATCGTTTATATATTTTAACAGTTAGGATGGTTATATGTATTAATATCACAAGAGTCTATTTAGGGCTGGTCCACCTCTCTCTTTTCATACCAAACATCTTGCTGACACCATCACTTTTCTATGTCCTATTCCAAAACTCTTCCAAATTTCATTCGAATAGATGGAGGAAATCATCATTTTATGTTTATCTCCAAGCAAGGATGGTAGAGTTTAAGCAAAGCCAAACATTTATTTGTACTTAAAGATGAGCATTTACATGCAACTTGATGCAAAACATGACTCTTGAAAGAGAACACAAAAGAAACCAACCAAAAAAAAAAAAAAAAAACCCCAAACCAAAAACCCTCTCTTGGTTTGAAGTTCCAGTCTGCTTCAGAATACCATACTCTACTAGCACAAATTGATTGCTTCAGATACTTTGAACTTTTTCTGCTTAGTTTACATTGTCTTTTCCTTCAGCTTGCATTGATGCAACTTCTGAGCAGGATTTAACACACTTAAGTAGCAAAGTTCAGAGAGAATAATTGATCTACCCTTGAAAGACTACGCTCAATTCTATTCAAGCAGAGCTATTGATTGACAGATTTAATGTTTTAAGGAATTGGCATTTCCAAAGCTGCTGGCCCCTTATTATGCTCACCATGACTGTCTTCACACTTTAGCAGAACTCTGTTGTTTGTGCAGTAGGGAGAGCTATTGCTCCAAAGGGAAAAACTTTAAATCAAATTATCAATCCTAGACCATATTTTTAGCTACAGTATGCAAAGCTCAAGAGCAATGTATGGTAGACATAATTTGTATTATCAGCATTTTTCCTGATTCATTCTCTCAGTAGAAGCTTCTGCACTGAGAAAGAATTTGAAAGAAATTTCACCACTTGAAACTGGTATTGAAACCACAGCATGTCCTTCTGTAGCAGCAAAGAGAATGGGCATCAGGTATTCTGCTCATAAAAGTCCTCTTCTTGCTACAAGGTTGGTTTAGAAAGTTGCAATAATTCCTGCATTTTCTATAAGCAGCCAATCTGCACAGCCCTTCTGCCAACAGCAATTTTCCAGCTCTGATTATACCATGAACATTGTGAAGGTGCTGTATCTCCCTGAAGTAGATCAGTTGCTGTCACCATGTAATAACTGTGCTTAAGTTGACCTATTAGCCACAAAGATAGTGTACTGGCTAACAGATGATCAAATGAATTATGACTATTCAGTGGTGAGAGTCCGTTCTGCACATGTGCAGTGGCACTCCTACTTTACATGCTCAAGCCCTGAACAATGTAAATATTCAGGGCAAAGGGTCAAAAAGCCCATCTAAAATATCCAACATATAAGACAGACATTGATTTATGCACTGTATGAACTGTTTCCATATCGCTTATGGGAATACCACTTTTTACCCCAAAAATTCCTCTGCAAAGTCATTGGCAGCTACATTTCAAAGCTTATAATCAATTGCAATTTTAAAAAATGTAAACACACAGGAGACACTCTTCTCAAGGCAAGAAAAGCTGCAATTTTGCTTGTTTTGTTTAAGAAGCCAATAACTATGCAAGCACATGCAAGCATGGTCCAAAAGCAGCAGGAGCCTCTTACCAGCCAAGAGGTGGAGTTATCTGCCCAACACTGCCAGGAGACAAGGGGTAGAAGGTGGGGATGTCGGGACCTGGAGGATGCCTGGACATGCCTGTTAAAAAGCATAGAATGCAAGTTGTCATTCTACCCAGAACAGCATAAAATACGATAAGAAGGGAGTGTAGTCAATTTATCCATAAATTAAGCCTGGAATAAAAATGAGTCTGCCTTATATTTAGCACTTTTAAAAATACACAATACAGCTTATTTTAACTGCCCCAGGCTGTGAATATTAAAATCCTTGTTTTTCTAAGAGTTACTTCCCGTATTTTATAAGGCAATTAGGGGCAGGATGGTTTAGTGCTCAGTCTCACAGATGGTGGAAGAAAGAGGAAACTGACTTGCTCTGCTCAAACAATTCATAGGCTGCTTAAGTTGGGTGGAAAGATCTAGCTGGAAGAGGGTTAATTATAATTGCTTTGTGAAACAGATGGTTCAGTCTGAGAGGAAAGTCCAGGTGTAAAGGACTGGATCAAGACTAAGTGAGTTGCAATAGAACGGAAGCCACTTAAATCAATAGGAGAAGAGGACTAACTTGCCTCATTGATCACAATGAGACTAAACTTCAATACACTTGGGCTGGATACAACTTTATGTCTTCCTGTGGCAGAATGAAGATATTAGCAGCATAAACATCAAAGGTGTCTAAAGCCACATCTTTTAAGGAAAGGTCATACCCTTTGATGTTTTCAGTGACATGACATGCCACAGTAGCCATTTCTATAAGTATTTCTGTAAACCATTTCCAGTAAGTGTCCAGCTAATTTGGGATGTAGCCCAAGGCCTATAGCTGTTTGTAAGACCTGCAGAGCCAAGCCAGCTCTGATGCAAATGGCTTCAGCAAAGCCTAAAGAATGATCTAGATTCCAATTCTTAGAATACTTTGAACCTTTATATTTCGTGTTCTAGGAGTATAATTCTGTTAGCCTGTTGCAACAAAAAGTCTTATGGCACTCTAATGATTAAGAACTTTCTTGTGGCATAAGTTTCATGAACAAAAACCAACTTTGTCCAATGCATGGTCACCTCAGTGGATAAGTATATATACCCCAAGTACAAAGAGAAGGAGGGTGGATGGGAGTGTGTCTAATGCAAAGCCAAAAGGTCAAGCACCATAAGAGATAGCAGTAAATGCATCACAGTACTATGCAGAACAAAAATGAATTCAAAGTCTAGCCAGAATGAGTGTGAACCACCCTTGACTAGCTGCCATTTGTTAATGAGTAGACAAAGTAAAATCAGTAGTGTAAATACACACCCAAGAGGAGCAATTGCTTTTTGCAGCGACACCAGCCATTCTCAGGTTTTCCCAAGATAAAATTCCAGTAACATTTTAATTAATTTCAAATAAAGTGGCTTCAAACTTCAAGTCTCCCTTTGCAAAGAACTACAGTGACCTTATTGTCTCCTGGAATGTCATAGAGGATTTAAATGCTCCCCAAACCAGTATTGGAGTGTGACAATTCTAATGTTTCATTTGGTTCCATTTATCTTCTTGCATTAGAGACAGACTTTTTTCTCCTATGATAATGGCAGAAGGGCTTCGGAGGGACTGGACCCTCTTCTACATTCACAGCCTTCAAAAGTTGTTGACTCAGATCCTGATTCAGAAGTCAAAGACAAGGGGTTGGAATTCACGGCAGATATACTGAGCTCAGTGGACCCAAAGATAAGCCAGGCAGTTGCTGGAAACCAGACAGTTTCAAGTTCAGTGGGAAATTCTGATGAGTCAGCTGAGATGGTGGAGATAGAGGTAACATAACTAGCCAGACATAAAGCAACAGGTTAAGTGGGCGGATCAGTTAAGAAGCACCAGACATTCCAGGCAATTGGTCCATAAGTAGCATGGATCACCCAAAATCAGCTGGTTTTGGTTTGGAAGGGAGGAGAGGTACTCAGTTTGGAATCAGCTTTGTATCAGTAAGCCCCATTCCCCTAAGGGCAAATATTTTAACTTTGCTTGTGTCTGTTGTTACTGAGTTTTGAAATACTCTTCTTCTATAATGCAAAACCAGCCTAGCTGCTCAGCTTTATTATAGTAAATACTTTTTGCTAGGAAGCCTTTGACCTAATCTGCTTGGATGGAAGGGGAAAAGAGTGGCCTGTGACAGGCTAACTTGCACACCATGTTAAAAGAGGGCTAGAAGATGTAACCCTCAATGCTAAGGCTGACACAGTTTGCTGCTTCAGACCAGATTTCTATCTGAGAGGCAGGACTAGCCTTTCATGCAACCACTATCTGAAAGCTTACCATTGTTACCCTCTTTTTGGGCCTGTCCCTGAACCTATCTGACCATGTCAGTCTGTTTCCCCCCTCCCACTTGCTTAAAGCAGTGCTGAAATGTTAAGAACTTTTGATGGGAATCCAGGAGGTGGTAAACCCTGACTAAAGGGATGGCAAAAATGCAGTTACACTGCAGGATCTGGCTGCAGAGAGACAATTGTGCAGCATGCTCAGATCTGTAGCTGGAAGCATATAGGTATGCTTGTAAATCAATGGTAAGTTGATTTAAGGAAGTATTATGAGCCATGCGTAATTGTTCTGTGATTGCAGAAAGTGGACCTGCTTTATAGATTTTTCCAGGTTCAGGCAATGAAAAGCACTACAAGTCTGACTTAAGTTCTAAAGGGTTTATTTTCTGGATTTCAAATAAAGGAGGTACCATCAATGTTTCCTGGAAAGAGAAAAGTTATGAAGAGATGGAAAAGGAATGAGTATGCCAACCCCAACCTGGTGCCCTCCAGATATGTTGAACCCCAAATCTCCATTCCTGACCTTTGGCCATGCTGGTTGGGGTTGAAGGTGGCCTTGGGAAGGCTACCATTTAGGGAAGGTTGAGCCATTAGCTATTTTGGCATATTAAATGGCTACCATACCCATACATAATGAAGCCATAGCCCAGGGGTCTCAAACTCGCGGCCCGTGGGCCAATTGCTGGAACAGGCGGGGCACGGGGGAGGGGCCCTGCGGCCTTCAAAGCGCCGGCGGTGCCCAGGCCAGCCGCGGGATGAGCGGCCCACCACCACCGCGGTGGTGGAATACTTGATGCGGCCCAGCCTCACCAGACTCTACTTCCAGCGGCCCTCAGGTCAGTTGAGTTCCAGCAGCCCTCAGGTCAGTTGACCCCTGCCATAGCCTTTAGCTTACAAGAACTGGGCAAGACTCAGGACACTTTGGAGGGCATTCATCCACAGCGCTGCCACAAGTCGAGACAACTTGATGGCACACAACAACAACAACAACCCATAGCCTTGATCTGAAACTGTTGCGAATAAAAAGACAAAAGGATGACAGTATCACCCTAGTGCACAGCAGCTGTTTGTTTTTGTTTTTTTTAAATCCATAGCTTTAGAAAAAGGAGCAAAAATAAAATTGCCTGTGGAGCATCTGAAATCAGTGTGATGTTGTTCTGAAGTAAAAGGACTTCCTTTTAACTCAAGCAAACCCCACTCACTGGTTTCAGGCATCGCATGGGCAGTGTCCTGGGCTGCCCATGCTTTGCCATCTTCCTACGAGTTTATAGGAAGCAGTGGCAGTTCAGGAGGCTGCAGAGCATAACATAAGGCTCAGTTTAAGTGAGAACATATGCACACACCTTGGGGAACCTCAAAAGATTATTAAGGCTTACAGTAAACATGAAACTCCTCCTGACATTTGCCTAATTCTTTGATTTTCAAGAGAGTTCCTTTTTGTCCCTCACCATTTTTGCATAGAAAAAAAAATGAAGCCAAAATTATTAGCACAGTACCAAAATAATGTATGGTTGCCAAAACTGTGTTTCCTCTGGATCTTTCTTGCAGGGTCCTGTAGATGATTAAGACTGCTGGCACAAGGCCCAAGACGCCACTCCACATAGACAGAAACATATACTAGGAGAATGCCAATGTTTGAATCAATGGGATGCCCACATTTACCAACTGGAAGAGGATCCTATGATGTCTCTGTGTAGATATGTTCCTGAACCTCTATAAGAAGCTTATTTCAGTGCAGTCTAGGGATTTTGACTTGTAGAGTGTGGTATAGGGATGGTTACCTATCAGCTTTCCACAAATAAAGCAACCTATTTATGATAACCAAGACACCCGCTTTCTCTTCCTCTGACCATAACATCAGTGTTGTTTCTGAGGCTGCAGATGCTGATACATTCTGCATGGCTGAGATAGAAGGCAAGCAATGCAACATTCTGACTTGAACTGAGTATGCAAACTGACGCACTCTATGTAATAGTCCAGTCTGTATTGGAGGGGTCTGGGTCCAGTGCTGAGAAGACAGCTGTTGTGTCAGTACCCTGTTCACTGTTGAGGCCGAAGTACTTCCCGAGTTAAGGATGGCAGAGAGAAAAGCCCCCAGGTCAGCAAGGAACTGTATCACATGTGGATGTCAAAGGACAAAAGGAGGGTCCCCAAGACAAAACTGACTCTTCTGCTTGGTTCAGCATGTGACTAGACATGTTAATGATATTGCTGGATATGCTTGGGATCCTCCTTTTCTGCAGAGAAGCAAAGTGTTTTTCTCCTTTTTCTGTAGAAAAGCAAAGTGCATGATGTAGATGGATTACATCATTTTGGGAAAGACTTTCTAATTGCACGGTTGAGGAAAAGAGCAAGCGTTTATGTAAAACTCCAGTTTTTTGAGTTTATGTCTAAATCCTCCTTTGTTAGCTATACAAGATGCTTATCAGATTAGTTTCAGTATTCATTTGTGTTCTGCACAGCACTGTGATGCATCATACCCTGCTTTGCATTGCTTGACCTTTTGGCACATTATATATACACACGCGCGTGCACACACATATGTATATGCATGCATGCATTCGTGCCTATACATATACATATTCAATTTCCTTCTCTTGGTACTAGAATATATATAAATATACCTACCGACTTAGGTGACTGCTTCACATATCTCAGGATGAAGTAGACTTATGCCACAAGACTCATAGTTTGTACATTTCAGGGTTGATTTTCACTCTGGTTTAAAAGGAAAGGAAGACATTTAAACAGACCATAAGTGATAAAATATCGTTTAGGGAAATGTAACAGATTTTCCCT